ACAGAGGGGGTCAGATCTGGCATCCAAGCTCTGTCCACCTAAAAGCACATTCTAAAACACTCTAAAGGTACAATGACTAGGTCATCTTTGGCAAGTGTAACAAGGATAAGTAAGTTTAAAAGGCTCCATCTGCTTGTGCAGACCTTTAGAGACTCCTATGGTGTTTTCCATAAACTACAGGTGTTTATGGTGGTAGGACTGCATCATCCCTCCTCAGCTAAATAAGCATGGATGGTCTATGTTGTAGACAAATTACAAGTCTTTTGAAGCTTGGTGTTTGCATTTTTTATGGGTTTCTTGTTCAGTTGATTTGGTGTTAGGATTTTTTTTTGTTTGTTTTGGCTTTTTTTTTAGATATTAATGGGATTAATTTAGTTTCCAAAACAAAGCACACAAAGGCACTCCTTCAGCACAAACATAGTTCTAACAGTAATGCCCAAGCACCTCTGTGTTTTGGAGTTTTCAAAAATGGGTATTTGAATTCCGTGATTTAGAGTTCAGGCTCATTCAAATTATACATAACATGAGCCCTCTCCCATAACTTGTGTCACAGCAAGTGCAAGGTACTAACAGGTTCCCTTAACCTCACTCCATTTCCCTTAGAGCTTGTTTTATCAACTACAGAAATACTTAAATACAATTTTTTAATTTTTAAAATTATCAAAAACTCTTAAGTGCATGGTTGTCTCTCAAATCCCTTGCAGAAGCAAGATGCTCATAGTTTTAAACAACAGATCTTTAATGCTTTTTTAAAGTATTTAAAATGTAAAATTATATGACTAATTTCATACCTCAAATGTGAAGCAAGTTTTAAACAGTAATTTTTACCTGGGAAAACTGGCAATACCCGTTACTGTTTCCATAGGTGAGAATAGCAAATTATCACACAGCAATTTAGAATCTTAAACACTGAGCATAACCTAAAGCATGAACCAACTATAGGGAGGTCAAAAGGAAAATCCCTTGCTGTGAAATCTCGGAAAAGCAGGAAACATCTGCAACTGAAAAGATACTTTGAAATAACAAGAATCAAATAAAAAATTACATATAGATTAAAAAAATAGTAATTTAAAATATTAATTTATCTTCTTACGGTTTGAAATCATACTTTTCTTTGTTATTTTCTGACTTTTTGTTTTGATAGATTTCAAATTTAGAGGGGAAAAAAAAAGTCAAACCAATTCTCCAGAATGCATTATGCAGTAAGCACAGAAATTAACAAATTAAGAAGAGAAAATGATAAACATAAATGCCAAAACCAATAAAATACTCATCTTTAAATGCCAACATTTAGATCACACTGTCCCAATGAAGATAAAACTGTTGAAACCTGTAAAATAATCTGACCAAGGTCTTGAGTTTAAAAAGAACTGAAGTCAACCATTAAGCTTATACATGGACAAATTATTTTATTGCCTTTGTTCTGCTGTGTTCACCCTTCTCAGGTCTCCATTCCAACAAGCACCAGACCTGGGTAAATCCTCTTAGATCTTCTGAAGTCAACCCTAGGTAGGTGTAAGGACATTGCTGCATATCCTTTACTTGGCCATGCTGCTCTTACTATGTAAAAAACTAGTCCACTGTACAGATCTGTTGGGCCAACCTGAAGTTTTCCCCAATCTCTTTATAATTTCCCAGCAGTACGATCATAAAGCATTTAATGGTCTGTCACCTGGTGGGATGGGGATGAAAGAAAGTTCTAAAGCCTCAAATCAGAGCTTGTTTTCTGCAAGGAGGAAGTGATACTTTTTTTTTCTTTTGCTTTTCTCATCTGTTTCCAGGAAATACACATGCCATTAGAGGATATATGGATATAAACAGAATATAGTAACTTAAGCAGAAATCATCTCTTTGTTGAACAGGTAACCTGTCATTGTCCATATGATCAATGAAGTATCAAGGTCACAGCAATCTCTTTAAAAAGGACAAACTCTTAGAGAGCTGAAAGCAAAAACATGTTTAAGGATGTTCTTGAGTAATGAAAATACTGACTGTGACTATGAAAAAACAAGTGGACTGTCTGCTCACATACAATACGATTTTTTTGGTGTGAGTTGTGATAAAGGCTGGTGAAAAACTGCCTTTGTTGATATTTCAACTACAGATCATAAAAATTAAGCATAAATTTGCTCTACAAATGAAGTGCATTGCACTAGTGAAGTGTGTATATTTGTCTTTAAATGTTAATAGATTATTTTTTCTGCTGCTCAGTATGCCCTCTGTTCAGCTAACAGGGCTGTACTGTAGATTACAAGACAGCAAAATAAATAGGTCCAAGTAGCCAAACCAATGAAGATGCTCTTTTCCTCAGCCATTCTCTACCTTTCTCACATGGCACTTGATCTTTTGTTATAGAACACAATCTTGTTATACCTTATTAAGAAGTATTTCTGAAGATATGTGAAGTACAGGTACTGCAGATCAGTCTGGACTAAATGTCTATCCCACGGTTGCCTCTGTGCCCCTGGTTTAATTGCCAGTCCTGCGCTCCTAGACACAAATTTCCCATAATTCCAGAAAGCAAGAGCCCACTCAGCTCCATTCCTTATAAGTAGACTGCCACAGATTTAAAATTACATGCAGCAAATAAAAGATTCTGCCAGACACAGTCTGCTTTTTTACATTACTAAACTTTGCCATATCATAGGGACAATCACCTCCTGTGCCATTTCAATCCTCTGTGATTCTGTCCTGTCAACTGTGCTGCAGGGTTGTCTTCCCCAAAGCACAGAAGGCACATCCTTTACAACAAGGAGAGCAACCAGTGATATTTAAAGCCATCTCTTCCTAAAAACAAATTGGGAAAATCTAATGCTATGAGAACTCATTATTGAGGTTATGAGACCCTCCTACTCCTCTATCTTAATTAGTTACTACAGCTGTCTTTTAAGTGTTTTACTACAGCACTGTAACTCACAGTAACCATTCCTGACTAAGCTTTTCTTCTACTGTATAACAACAAAAGAATTTCATTAACTTCATGGAGAGACATTCATTGCATTTACCTTACTTGAAGTAAAGATGCAGATGACATCTCCAGGCAATCTATTGGGCAAATAGTACATATTGTTCCTACTAAAATCCTGGAAAAAGAACTCCAGCTTCTTCAGAGTTATACAGAGATCTTGCCTTTTTAATCTCTATTCTTAAGACTCTTAGCAATATTTTTACACCAATTTCTTCTCTCTCATTTCAATACCTTGAATTATTACTTATCTCTTATTTTTGCTTATTAAGGAACTCCTTTTGGATTTCAGAAAACTAACAGAGGTGTTTCCTTTAAAACTAGAAGTCCTAAAAATCCCCAGTGAAGGCAAATACATATCTTGTAAATACACAGCTATTTCACCATGTTGTATTTCACTGTTTCACTTTGGGGGTTTTTTTTGGTTTTTAATCTCAGTATATACTACACAGAACTTGATTTATTATTTAGCTGCTTTATTATGTAAACCTCCTACTACTCTGTCTTTCAGCTTTTGTTGTTGCAGCATTTTTGAGATCATATAAACAGGCCCAAGAGCTACTGCTAAATAATTGAAATTCATTTCATTTTTAGAATGGATTCCCCCTTGGAACATCTGCCGTAATAATATTCTACTCCCAAAATAAATTTCCATTTACATTCACTGGTGTGCTTTTTGTGAAGACTCTGGGGGAAAAAAAAAAAAAAAAGAGGAACTAAAATGGGTAAGAATGACACCAAAGAGATATAATTAGCTAAAACTCTTTTCCAAAAATAATGGTATGTTACATCAGCAGTTTTATTACCATGGCAATGAACACAAATTTTTGAAGAGTTTTATATGCAGAAAATACATATAAGATAGGCTGTACTTCCCTTTTTTTCTCCCACTATAAACAGCAGAACATGTTAAAAGTTAATCTTTTTACAACTGATCTTGATTTCTTTGTGTAACTGTGATAAATTCAATCAAATAATCTATTTAGAGGCAGGTTATTTCCTGCTGTTCAGTGTTGGATCTACAGTCAAATACCACATGTAAAAAACACCCTGTCCAGAACATGATATAACTAGACACAATTTATAATAGAGCTTTATTGCAAAGCTAATGTCATCTGAAAGAAAACATGGTAAGAAGACAGAGTCTGAAGAAGTGAAACATTTTTCATGTAAGATTTATACCTAACTCCTGTGAGAATACAAATATAATCTCAGTGTGGGAAGAACTGGCTTCTGCTAGAAAAACTAAGCAATAAAGCTGCACCCACGTCACCCATAAAAACTGCAGAAGCTTGGTCTATTCCAGTCTACAAACAGGGAAAGACAGAAAGAATAGTTGCCTATTGGATACCTCATGCTCAGCCCTGCCAGTATCANATTTGCTTTTTAAAGCAGACAGACTGAAAATTTAAGACATACACAAATCTGCTGCAAAATTAAGAAAATAAATTTCAGCAACATTTTACAACCCTACTGCTGTATCAAACAAAATACTTCAGTCTCTAGTACTGTTGACCTTGAAATGTTATGTGCTAGGAAACATTGCCATTATGGTTGATATTGGTTTAAACCAAGCAGATTGAAACAAAACATGGTGGAATCAAGCAGTTTGTATTAGATGTTGCAGAAGTAATTTCGGGGCAAACCACACCCTTATTGGGATAAGAATGGTACCAAAGTAGCCAGAAGTTTTATTTGGTTTATTGACAAATATTTGACTTCAGATATACTTAATTTGCATTTCACTGAACAGATGGGTAGTATTAGAGTTCTTAACATACTCAACTGAAATTTAATCATCCTAATTTCTCTGTATTTCAGTCTATTGATGAGGGAAAAGGATGTTCCCATAGACTCCATTCAACATGTTAACTGTATTAAACAGATTTTGACTTAAGGATGTCCTCATCACCAGTTTTGGCAATGTCTTTATGAGCTTGAAGCCTTTGTCTTATATTTCACATGTGCAGAGACTAGTGCAAAAGGCAATTTCAGTAGGAATCCCGAATTCAATGATTCCTTTGGAAATACATCAATTCATAATAAAACATCAATCAGATCTCTACTTACAGCCCCCTAACACTGCCAAAGCCACTGCCTGTCTGTCTCAGTGAATGAAGCTGTGCATGCTGTTTTCCCAACACCCATTTACATGACCATGCTTTGATGAAACTGGGTGAAAAGAGATGTCCACCACTCAGACATGACTATATCTCTGCTGTTGCCCTGTGACATTATTTGATTGATGTTTGCCTGAAGGCACAGCACAACTCAAACAACATAGGACCTACAGTGATTACTTGCACTTCCTATAGATATTCCAATATTAGTCTATTTCTTCCCAATTAATGACTTAATTAATAATTTCATTATTAATGTACTGGATGTGCATGCCTCCTTAAAAGTGGTACAGTCCATGTTTAGCTTTGATAGTGAGTTGCCAGGGGGAGAATGTGTTAGGAGCTCTACAATGCACAACTGTCCTGTATCTGTGTTTTCTATTTGCCCAAGGCCACTGAATCTTTGCAACTTTCTCTGTATAACAAAGGCAAGTTGCAGACACATTGCACCTACCAAGAAAATTAGTGTGCTTTTTGTACTGCAACAGTTTTAATAAAACTGAGCTTTAGAAATTAATATTTTAAAAATCTATGTTATATGTTGAAATAAACAAATACCAATCAATTAATGTAGATGGTTTTGTCCCAGCCAAACTTGGGTTTGCAGAATGATATTATAAACTATCATAGTTATTTCCAAATTAATATTAGCTTGCATTAGACTACTAATTGTTTAAAACTATTTGCTAATTTGTTAAAATCTACAGTCCATGCAATATGTTACTTTGGAAAAAGAAAGAATAGCTGATTTACATAAGCAGAAATCAGCATGAGACATGGCATGTCTTACTTGCCTTCCCTAAGTGCTACAGAACATAATTATGATATTTATAAATGTGAATATAAATAAGGTAAGAGATTCTAAAACCATTTAAAGGTGCCTAACAGTTGCTTTTTGTTTTAAGTATAAAGGACAGTACCAATGGCTAAACATTTTCCAGTACTCTAACACTGCAGAATGTTCTAAGTATGTGAAGACTGTCTTGCACCCTTAATCCTGTGATCCAAGCCTACTGAAATTGCTTCCAAGTGTATAAATTCTATCTGTTTGGGTCCTAAGCTGCTGGAAAAGGATAACAGACTTTTTTAATAGCAGAAAGGATCCTGAATTTAGTTCAGTTATATATTTAAGAGTGGGATTTGCCAAACCATCACTGAAGACACTAGTTCATCTTGTCGCTGCTGCTTGGTCTTCTTGTTCACTCTTCTGTGTCCCTGGCCACCAGAAATCACTAATACTGAACTCGCTTTCATTTTCTTAGATTTCTGTCTTTTACTTTTAAATGAGATATTTTGATCCTTCAGAAGCTCATAAATGTTACTGTCCTCTGGTCTGTGTTCTAGGGAACTTGATCCATGAGACAAAGTAAGGGATCCAGAAGATGATGACAAGTCACTTCTTTGTGCAATGGACCCTGCTGAACCTCCCAGCCAAATTGCAGTGTCATGGGTGTTACTAAGGGAAGAGCCTGGTCTTTCAGTGAGCAGAATGTTCTTCTGGTCCTCGTCCTTAGGTTCTGAGCCAGGAGGCAGGCTGTTCCTCAATTTGTTTCTGTTCTTCTTGTTTATAGATGTAGCTGTTACAAGAAACTTGACTGGGCTATTGTGTGCATGGTATGACACCATTCCTCTTCCTGGAGCCAAAAAAAAAGATGCAATTAAAGAACATTATTTATTTGGCCACAGTGTTCCACCATAATTAGTTCATGAAATTTGCTCAGAAAAGCATAACTCTTAAAACCCTATTATATGTATCCAGTCTGTTTTTCCCCTCATGTGTACACTATTTACAGGAAAAAAAGAAGTACATAGAAGTAATGTATTATACCACAAGTGTTTTAGAACTGTACTAATAAATCAGCTGAAACATGGCATTATGAATTTTAGTTGACATACTTTTGTGTTTTATCCTCGCAACAGTGTGAGCACAGAAACACTGCCAACTTCTCTTTGTTGGCATTGACACAAATTTAATACTCAGTTTTCTCCAGTAATCCACAAACAATCCTGTGCTACCCCTGTACGTCTTCAGAATAGCATCAGAACAGACCCTTCCATACTATACATCAGGAACTAAAACTCATCCTTCTGGATGGTTGTCTGGTTACCATGATGGATTCATAAGGAAATGACTGAACAGGAAGATTTAGGCTGTGCAAATCATTAGAATGTATGAAAAACAAATTGCATATGGCCAAATTCAGAAGCTGTAATATTATATGTAGCTTTTACAGTAAAAAAGGAAGAAAAAAAAGGAGGATTCTACAAAATAATCTACAATATGAAAAAGAGCTAGGCTTTCAAGGGGAAAAGCCCACAAACCCTATAAATCACTATGTCAATCCCTAATTCCCTGATGCATTCCAAGTTATAAGAAAACACATTCTTTTACAGAAAGCACAATCATAAAAAGATGAATTATCAATATTGGAAGCACAACACCAAAAGCCACAATTTTTGAGTTCAAAATACAGTTATCAAAGACTAAAAAACAGGTTTCTAAATGTAATGTTACTAGATCTGTGAAATCTGAAAAATCTTGACCCCAAATAAATGCAAGAATACATGACATAAACCACAATAATAAAAACAGGAAATGGAAGAATGAGAGATTTTTTTATTCTGAAACTATGCATTTTGTTGTATTGCATTTATTTTCATCTAACATAGGTTCCAGATTTTTATGGAGCATTTATCCTGTGTCATACCACATTATTGCTGCGTGTTTTGCTGAACACAGAGGATTTCATTTTCATTTTGCGAAGTTACATAAGCATTTTTTTTTCCCTGAAGGAAGCTGCAAACAGCTTGCCTCAGAAAATCTGCCAGCTTCCCTCCACAGCACAGAAGCTCGAACAGAATTCTGAACCCAAAACATTGGGGGAAAGCCCCTTTTAAACATACTTTTAAAATCTTGCTTCTGCTAGTAGTTTAAACATTAGTAAAGTGATGCAGCAGCATTCATGCATTTGTATTTCAAATGGGGTAATATGAAAGTAACTCAATAAATATACCTCTCCAAAATGTAAAAACCTTGGTCATGGTCAAAAAAAATGAAATATTTTTACTCTCATGTATTCCAAGTCTCCTGTTTGGGGGAAACCAATCAGCAACATGCTGAATTAGGTATATCTATGTCTATATACCTAATGCATGTATTTTCCTCAAATCTGAAAGAAAAACTGCATTATCTTCTCATCTCCATGTATTTGACTGTACTCTGACAAGATTAATGCCTATCCTGTTCTTATACCCTAAAGAAAAAACATTGTCCCAGCTCAAAAAACTGAGACACAACTAGTCAAGTACTTGGATATACTGTAAAGCTTATGAAGAGCAGCAAGTGTAATTTCATCACAAAGCTCTGTCATTTATCTAAACAATACATATAATTTGCCAGGTTCACTGAAGTTACTGACAGCAGAGAAATGGCTTCTTCAGTACATGAGGCGTTTGAGAAATTTCACTCACCAGTTACTTTGGGAATCCCCTGCAAGCGAGGCACTGGTAACGCTACTATTATACCCAGGTTTGTTCCCACCAGCAGTAAACCATGGCACACCAGGAGGCTGGTCACAGAGACACGCTGCTGCCCTGTGAAGTTTAGGAAGTGCTCCATTACTGAAGAGTGATGACCTTTGCCTAGATCAGAGTGACTTCAGGCAAACACAATCAGCTGTACTATCTCATTCAGCAAAGCACTCAGCACAAAGGTAAATATTCTGCTGGATTATGGATTACACTTTACATATATGACAATTTAAATACTATTAAACTTTTGAAACATTCTGCCTTAAATCTCTAAATCGTAGTATCTAAGGGTAGACATAGACTGTCTTTACAAACATGCTTTTTATGAATAGGCTATGTTTGTATATTCCCTATAATAAAACTGAAAGGCATTTCACTTCACGATACTCGCAATTATATTGCCATAACACAATATACTCAGGACTCAAACCTGCTCACATTACTTTTTTCTCTCCTAGTTTTTATTCTGTGAAACTGTATTAGAAGTGCTGTGTCCCCCTCTCTGAGTTTTGGTCCCCTCCATACAAGAATGGCATTGGCATATTGGAAGAAGCCCAGTAGAAGGAGACCAAGATGATCAGGAGACTAGAGAGACTAAAATAAGTGCTATCTACATGTATCTGATGAAAGGATGCACAGAAGACAGAGTCAGGCTCTACTCAGATGTGCACAGTGATATGATAATACGCAATGGATCAAATTTGGGGCATGAGGAAATTCAAATTTGGTGCGTGGAGAAATTGTATTCTAAGTAGGGAAAAACTGCTTCATCATTAAGGCGATAAAAAACTCCAATGGGTTGCTCAGACAGATTGTGAAATCTTCATCCTCTCAAAAAATATTAAAAATTTGACTGGACAAGACCTTGAACAACCAGGTCTAATCAGGCTTGCTTCAAGAATGATGGACAAGATGACCTCCAGGGTAACTTCCAATCAAATTGACTCTGTGATTCTGTGATTTTCTACAATATTATTTATGAGACCACTATTTTTCTAATTTTAAGTAATTTTTGCTTGTAGTGTTTACTAAATATGTTTGGTTCAGTTTAGATGGATTTTCAAAATGGTCTTGACAAATTTCAGAAATAGAAACTATGGCCTGACCAAAATTTTGCCAAAGTTTATGAGGAGGAGCATTTAAACTCTGCTCAAAGCCTTCAGGTTCAAAACATACACATTCTTCAATTTATTATTAACTGTATATGTAGAGAAGTCATTCCACCTTCATCATAGCTCTCAAGTTCAAGCTCTCAATTCATTAGTAAGTCAGGAATTTGGATTTCACATCTGATGTAACTTGAATGAACCCACACGTTCCACACTTTGGAAAAGGACCTCAATTACAGTGTATCACAAATGAACGTGTTTTCTGTTTAGTCCCTTGAAGCTTGCATCCAAGAATATATAAATTGCAGAATCACTGGGAAAGCAGGGAAGGAGCAGCTAGACTGTAGCCCAAACCACTCAACTGGAAATCAGGAGGCAGAACACAGTTCAAGTCTTTCTTCACAGAACTTTGGAGAAACAAAGTATTAACCCAGCAATGGTGAGTTTTGAGAGGCGCACAGAGGGGGTCAGATCTGGCATCCAAGCTCTGTCCACCTAAAAGCACATTCTAAAACACTCTAAAGGTACAATGACTAGGTCATCTTTGGCAAGTGTAACAAGGATAAGTAAGTTTAAAAGGCTCCATCTGCTTGTGCAGACCTTTAGAGACTCCTATGGTGTTTTCCATAAACTACAGGTGTTTATGGTGGTAGGACTGCATCATCCCTCCTCAGCTAAATAAGCATGGATGGTCTATGTTGTAGACAAATTACAAGTCTTTTGAAGCTTGGTGTTTGCATTTTTTATGGGTTTCTTGTTCAGTTGATTTGGTGTTAGGATTTTTTTTTGTTTGTTTTGGCTTTTTTTTTAGATATTAATGGGATTAATTTAGTTTCCAAAACAAAGCACACAAAGGCACTCCTTCAGCACAAACATAGTTCTAACAGTAATGCCCAAGCACCTCTGTGTTTTGGAGTTTTCAAAAATGGGTATTTGAATTCCGTGATTTAGAGTTCAGGCTCATTCAAATTATACATAACATGAGCCCTCTCCCATAACTTGTGCCACAGCAAGTGCAAGGTACTAACAGGTTCCCTTAACCTCACTCCATTTCCCTTAGAGCTTGTTTTATCAACTACAGAAATACTTAAATACAATTTTTTAATTTTTAAAATTATCAAAAACTCTTAAGTGCATGGTTGTCTCTCAAATCCCTTGCAGAAGCAAGATGCTCATAGTTTTAAACAACAGATCTTTAATGCTTTTTTAAAGTATTTAAAATGTAAAATTATATGACTAATTTCATACCTCAAATGTGAAGCAAGTTTTAAACAGTAATTTTTACCTGGGAAAACTGGCAATACCCGTTACTGTTTCCATAGGTGAGAATAGCAAATTATCACACAGCAATTTAGAATCTTAAACACTGAGCATAACCTAAAGCATGAACCAACTATAGGGAGGTCAAAAGGAAAATCCCTTGCTGTGAAATCTCGGAAAAGCAGGAAACATCTGCAACTGAAATAACAAGAATCAACTAAAAAAATTACATATAGATTAAAAAAAATAGTAATTTAAAATATTAATTTATCTTCTTACGGTTTGAAATCATACTTTTCTTTGTTATTTTCTGACTTTTTGTTTTGATAGATTTCAAATTTAGAGGGGAAAAAAAAAGTCAAACCAATTCTCCAGAATGCATTATGCAGTAAGTACAGAAATTAACAAATTAAGAAGGGAAAATGATAAACATAAATGCCAAAACCAATAAAATACTCATCTTTAAATGCCAACATTTAGATCACACTGTCCCAATGCAGATAAAACTGTTGAAACCTGTAAAATAATCTGACCAAGGTCTTGAGTTTAAAAAGAACTGAAGTCAACCATTAAGCTTATACATGGACAAATTATTTTATTGCCTTTGTTCTGCTGTGTTCACCCTTCTCAGGTCTCCATTCCAACAAGCACCAGACCTGGGTAAATCCTCTTAGATCTTCTGAAGTCAACCCCAGGTAGGTGTAAGGACATTGCTGCATATCCTTTATTTGGCCATGCTGCTCTTACTATGTAAAAAACTAGTCCACTGTACAGATCTGTTGGGCCAACCCGAAGTTTTCCCCAATCTCTTTATAATTTCCCAGCAGTACGATCATAAAGCATCTGCATTTAATGGTCTGTCACCTGGTGGGATGGGGACAAAAGAAAGCTCTAAAGCCTCAAAGCAGAGCTTGTTTTCTGCAAGGAGGAAGTGATACTTTTTTTTTTTCTTTTGCTTTTCTCATCTGTTTCCAGGAAATACACATGCCATTAGAGGATATATGGATATAAACAGAATATAGTAACTTAAGCAGAAATCATCTCTTTGTTGAACAGGTAACCTGTCATTGTCCATATGATCAATGAAGTATCAAGGTCACAGCAATCTCTTTAAAAAGGACAAACTCTTAGAGAGCTGAAAGCAAAAACATGTTTAAGGATGTTCTTGAATAAGGAAAATACTGACTGTGACTATGAAAAAACAAGTGGACTGTCTGCTCACATACAATACAATTTTTTTGGTGTGAGTTGTGATAAAGGCTGGTGAAAAACTGCCTTTGTTGATATTTCAACTACAGATCATAAAAATTAAGCATAAATTTGCTCTACAAATGAAGTGCATTGCACTAGTGAAGTGTGTATATTTGTCTTTAAATGTTAATAGATTATTTTTTCTGCTGCTCAGTATGCCCTCTGTTCAGCTAACAGGGCTGTACTGTGGATTACAAGACAGCAAAATAAATAGGTCCAAGTAGCTAAACCAATGAAGATGCTCTTTTCCTCAGCCATTCTCTACCTTTCTCACATGCCACTTGATCTTTTGTTATAGAACACAATCTTGTTATACCTTATTAAGAAGTATTTCTGAAGATATGTGAAGTACAGGTACTGCAGATCAGTCTGGACTAAATGTCTATCCCACGGTTGCCTCTGTGCCCCTGGTTTAATTGCCAGTCCTGCGCTCCTAGACACAAATTTCCCATAATTCCAAAAAGCGAGAGCCCTCTCAGCTCCATTCCTTATAAGTAGACTGCCACAGATTTAAAATTACATGCAGCAAATAAAAGATTCTGCCAGACACAGTCTGCTTTTTTACATTACTAAACTTTGCCATATCATAGGGACAATCACCTCCTGTGCCATTTCAATCCTCTGTGATTCTGTCCTGTCAACTGTGCTGCAGGGTTGTCTTCCCCAAAGCACAGAAGGCACATCCTTTACAACAAGGAGAGCAACCAGTGATATTTAAAGCCATCTCTTCCTAAGAACAAATTGGGAAAATCTAATGCTATGAGAACTCATTATTGAGGTTATGAGACCCTCCTACTCCTCTATCTTAATTAGTTACTACAGCTGTCTTTTAAGTGTTTTACTACAGCACTGTAACTCACAGTAACCATTCCTAAGCTTTTCTTCTACTGTATAACAACAAAATAATTTCATTAACTTCATGGAGAGAAATTCATTGCATTTACCTTACTTGAAGTAAAGATGCAGATGACATCTCCAGGCAATCTATTGGGCAAATAGTATATATTGTTCCTACTAAAATCCTGGGAAAAGAACTCCAGCTTCTTCAGTTATACAGAGATCTTGCCTTTTTAATCTCTATTCTTAAGACTCTTAGCAATATTTTTACACCAATTTCTTCTCTCTCATTTCAATACCTTGAATTATTACTTATCTCTTATTTTTGCATATTAAGGAACTCCTTTTGGATTTCAGAAAACTAACAGAGGTGTTTCCTTTAAAACTAGAAGTCCTAAAAATCCCCAGTGAAGGCAAATACATATCTTGTAAATACACAGCTATTTCACCATGTTGTATTTCACTGTTTCACTTTGGGGTTTTTTTTTGGTTTTTAATCTCAGTATATACTATGCAGAACTTGATTTATTATTTAGCTGCTTTATTATGTAAACCTCCTACTACTCTGTCTTTCAGCTTTTGTTGTTGCAGCATTTTTGAGATCATATAAACAGGCCCAAGAGCTACTGCTAAATAATTGAAATTCATTTCATTTTTAGAATGGATTCCCCCTTGGAACATCTGCCGTAATAATATTCTACTCCCAAAATAAATTTCCATTTACATTCACTGGTGTGCTTTTTGTGAAGACTCTGGGGGAAAAAAAAAAAAAAAAGAGGAACTAAAATGGGTAAGAATGACACCAAAGAGATATAATTAGCTAAAACTCTTTTCCAAAAATAATGGTATGTTACATCAGCAGTTTTATTACCATGGCAATGAACACAAATTTTTGAAGAGTTTTATATGCAGAAAATACATATAAGATAGGCTGTACTTCCCTTTTCTCCCACTATAAACAGCAGAACATGTTAAAAGTTAATCTTTTTACAACTGATCTTGATTTCTTTGTGTAACTGTGATAAATTCAATCAAATAATCTATTTAGAGGCAGGGTATTTCCTGCTGTTCAGTGTTGGATCTACAGTCAAATACCACATGTAAAAAACACCCTGTCCAGAACATGATATAACTAGACACAATTTATAATAGAGCTTTATTGCAAAGCTAATGTCATCTGAAAGAAAACATGGTAAGAAGACAGAGTCTGAAGAAGTGAAACATTTTTCATGTAAGATTTATACCTAACTCCTGTGAGAATACAAATATAATCTCAGTGTGGGAAGAACTGGCTTCTGCTAGAAAAACTAAGCAATAAAGCTGGCACCCACGTCACCCATAAAAACTGCAGAAGCTTGGTCTATTCCAGTCTACAAACAGGGAAAGACAGAAAGAATAGTTGCCTATTGGATACCTCATGCTCAGCCCTGCCAGTATCAGTTTACCCTCCATCCCTTTTCCCAGCAGTGCCACAGCTCCCACCTGACACACTTGCTAACGCTGAGGTCGTTGTCCCTCACTTGTTAAACTTTTACAGGCCAGTGCAACTGCCTGTGACACTGGGGAGTGATTGAAAATCTTCTGTCTTAAAACAGTTAAAGAGCTGTAAAACTTTATCCTAACAACCACAGGTTTCATCTTAACTTGTAAGACTAATTATTTAATTCAACAAATTAAAGCTCCAGTCAGCTGAACACACTCCAAAATGGCAGCTTGTGAGTGAGTGGTTCAGCTGAGTTCACTGGGACTACTGAGGTAACAAAAATTAAGCAAGTGGTTTTTTGGTCCAACCCCTAGGCAAATTGACACCATCATGTACTTGATACTAAGTCCCAGAAGCAAATGCTAATCTCTGCAAAGTAAACACATTTTCCTGGCAGATTACATTGTCCAACTGCTTTACAGTCACACAAAAAATGTGACTCAACAGAAGAATCCACCTGCTTATCTATATAATTACATTTATAACCTGTAAGGAGGAGAGCTGTGACTCACCCAGCTCACTGCACACATTGGTTGCCTGGGCAGGAGATGGACTGCGACTTACTAAAGCAAATAGTCATTAAACCATTATCAGACTCAAAGTCCGAGATGAACCTTCTGATTCTGGTCTAATCTACAACACTGGAGGAACGACGGTGATAAAGACAAAACAAAATGTTATCATACAATGCATTTCAACTACCTGGCAACATATTGTGAACAGGTGTGGCAATGTTAACATCCTGGAGGTGTTTCAGTGTCTCAGTGTGGAACAGGCGAAGCGTAGATCCAGATGTGAAGGCAATCCAGACTCCCACTCCAGCAACAGCCATGTGAGAGATTACCATCCCTTCCTCTTGGTGGGCTTCAAAATGGTTCTGCAAGAAAAATAAGTACTCTGTGGGGAGATGCAACTCAAAGACATCATTCAACCTTTCTTACAATTTACTAAGAACTGAACATTTGAAGAATGTTCAAATGCTATTCAGCATAGGCACTTTATCTTCATCCTCTGGCAACGACAAATCTAGCTTCTTCTGCCTTGCTCAGGATATGTTCTGACAACTGCATATGACATTAATTTTCCTGGGAGATTTTTTTTGAAAATACATCATCATTAGTATGGAAGGATTCTCAGCTTTTGAGCCAAAATTCCACCTAATGACAGAGTAACTCAGATTTTCTGTTTATTAGAAATATCATATGATAGGGGCTAGCAAGCCCAAAAGGCCTCAGACATAAAAGGATTTTGTATTTCTTTATCAATACTCCTTTGGGAAAACTACCACAGATGTACTTTTATCTACAGCAGAACTTCTCTTTCAACAAATAAAAAATACTTTTCTTCTGTTCTGTTAGGGGTCTTTTCAGAACAAAAATCAGAGAATCAAATAAAAAGTCATCTTTAGAAAGTAGATTGTTTAAGAATACAAACACACAATTATTTGCTCCACACCTTAATATTGTGGCTTGTTTTTTGATGATTCTGAATTTCACAAGTATTAGCTATTGTATAAGTATTTGTTTTCCCATATTTTAAAATATCGATGCTTTTTATTATAAAAGCCAAAATCCTCTTTCTAAAGATAATTAACACAACAGTTTGAAGACAGACTGTTTTCCTTGATCTAGAGTCTCTATACATACAACTTCTACATGTCTCTAGAAGGCTGAAATCTCTCTACATGTCCCTGTTAACACGGAAGATAAAGCTGTAGTGAAGTTTTTTAATCATTAACAAGAAGGAAATTTTTTTTTCTCCCAGTTTTGCCTTCTAAGTAAGACTGTCTCTGAAGTTAAACACAGTTATTGTTGTGCCAGCTATTATCACAAAGCTAGTCTGATAAACATAAAACTTACTTGGCTAAATAAGTGACAAACTGTTCTTTGGATAAAAATCTCTCTATGAAGAATATGGAAGTAAGTAACTGCTCTAATATTCACTTAACATATTATATACTCTTCATCATATTTGCAGATAAAATGCAGAGGTAGTCTGTTCCTCCATGTAAAGTACACTAATTTTCCAAGTATTACAATTAAGACTTACATTTTGGTAATTTTTCATCAAAATCTAAATATAGCAGGGTTATAGATGCATAGTTCAAATTTTCCATCCAAATTAAACAAACAGGTTAAGATCAGAGACAAAGGATAAAAGTTTAGGCTTCCACAAAGCATAACTTGGTATTATGCTTACTAAGCACTTAATTTTCTTTTCATACTTTATTGCTGCATAAATTAGTATTTTCACTGAGAAATTTGCCATTTAAAAATAATGGGAATGATCTTTTAAGTGTTTTCATTTGTTAACACTATTCTTCAAATGTTCAGTTTTTAGTAAATGAAAAAAGTTTTTCTTCAGCTAGAGAGTGGCTCAATTTTGAGTGTTAATATATTACCTTTTGACTCTGAATAACAATACTATAGAATGCAAGGTAAGCAACTCTGGCAGACACATTTATATTCACTGTTTTCCTGAAGTAACCTCCATTCATTCTTTACCAGAGGATAAATACAATTTCAAAATCATACAATTTATTCAACAGAAGAATTTATAAAAACCCCCCACCTTTCAAAGTCAGAAACAGCTCTTTATGACTAGATTTTCTGATATACTCATCATGCATGTTTCACTGCAAATAGCATTTTAAAATATTAACTTCTCTTTATAAACTCATACATCCCTACACTGATTGGCTTTTGAGAACTTCTCAGGGACAGATCCAAGGCCACTGAAGTGAATCTGACCAGCAACTTGTACTGTTTGAAATTAGAAGAAAAATAAAGTGGATTGTAAAAAATTAATTGTCTCTGGAGTGGTCTGACCACAGCTGAAAACTCTGTTGGTGCCACTGAAAACAACTTACACATGCATTTTTGTCACATTCCATTTTACCAGCCAATTCATTATACTCCCACTTAGTCTACCCTGCCATTCGTGCAGCTGTCTGCTGAAATAGAGACATATTTAAAGTAAAACCATAATAATGCAAACACCACAAGAAACCTGTAAAAAGAACTATTCTTCTCATTGAAAGGGTCTTCAAACAGAGAGAAGGAACATACCCCAAACGTGTACCTTCTTATGCATAAGTTTTTGTATTAAGGATAGCTTTGACATCTGTATCAATAACATGTCTGTCTGAAGACTAATAGCTGGTCTTTTTCTTCTATTTTTTTTTCTTTTCATAACAAGAAATACAGATACAAAGGAACAAACATGTCTTATTCTCTGTGTTATCAAAAAAAATTGAACTTAATTTTTTTTTTCTCTTAGTTTTCATACCTACATTCCTCTCTATTCAAAGTCTGGCTTTCCCCCCCTCAGGCTCTCTTCTTCTAAATCCATAGCAACACAGGAGCTGTAGAAGACATAGTGGCTGCCTGAGCTCGATGCAGCTCACTGTGTTCCAGCAGTGTGGGGCATAGCTGGAACATTTCTTTGAGGGGTGCTCACTTACACCAAACAGCTGCACCAAGAGCTGAACCACAACTTCTCAAGCTTCATGAGAAATGCATAATGGGCTTCATCTTCAGTGTAAAACAAATGACTTTCACTACTTTAAAGAAGATATAGTACTCAGGCAAAATATATGTATAGGGATTTTAATTTGGTTTATTCAGCTGAATGTTTCAGTGTACCTCTTGTATAGTCAGCCAAGTTTTAAAAACAAGACAAAATAGACCAGGATGGAATGACTTCAGCTGGTGACTTTATTCTATTAAATACTCTCGCATTTTTTGAAGCTTTTAAACAAACACAAACTGCCTTTTCAAAGTGCAAGGGGCTATAGGAACAGTGAAAAATATGGGATGTAGGTCTATACCTAACAGCAATACAACTGTCAGATTTAGGGTCAAAACTAAGTAACAAAGTTCTTCCTCATAGATAGAGTATCAGAGTATGTAATTAATATATAATAGCAACTGATGCATTTCTCACATGTGCCTTGCCAAGGACCTTGAGGCATTGTGCCAGTTTGGGCCACTGTGCCAATAAAATACAATACCTAAAACATTTTATTGCAGTAACATATCATTAGACAATAACATATCATTAGAACAAGTGAATTGAGAGTCTTATACATATCAGAGATGTGGGGGCGGGGGGAGGGGAAGGCAGGAAAAGAGAATAATATTCAAACCCAATATACAGGATGCCAAATCTGCTCATTTATTAACAATCACTAAATAAAGAAAAAATCTTAAATAAAAATCTTAGAAAAGCAAGGAGACATGGAATGAGCTTTGCACTTGGTGAGTGCACAGTTAAACAAAAGATACCTATGAAGTAAAGAGTACCTCACAAGGATAAAGTTTAAAAAATGGTCTTGAATATGGGCTTGCACAAATACAGCCTTAAAAATTAGTCAGGGGCCTTTATAGATAATGTACATGACACAGAGCACACAGCATGTATGCATGATAGAGGAAGCAATGAACTAACAAGCATCTGTATTGGAGTATTTATGGAGTATCTCCACATTAAGCAAATGGAGATATAAAGAAGTTCACTAAAGAGGGAAGAATAACAGTTGAGCCCTGGATTCCTGCTGATAGAGTAAAGATTTAAGTTTATGCAAAAGATCTTGAGTCAAATCATTACTACTAACTGTCAACAAGAGAGAGCACTAAGGGAGAACAAACATTTCCTTGTTGCTGCTTCCCTTCATGGAGCAAAGCTTCTGCTCTTCACAGTAAGGAAGAGGCAGCTCAGATGTATATACAATATAGAATATACATATAATTATTATATTCTATAAACATTTTAATATAATATTTTAATATTATTAAATATTTAATAATAAATATTCAATATAGACAGAGTTTAAATTGCCTTATATCATATAATATTGAAACAATATTGCCAATAAACATGGCAAAGACATCGTAGCAGATCACTTTTGGAAATACAAAACCAGGAACTTATCAAAACAAGTCAGGCAACTGAGCAGGCAGCAATAATGAAAACAGTGAGCTGTTCAGTCTGGCGAGTTGAGGAGAATAAGATCAGTACTTGCACATAGAGAAGCAACAAAAAAATCATCATTTGCTCACAGTTCTATGAGGAAGATCACATGCTATGGCATGGGTATTTGTGTGACTGATCGTCAGCCAGACATAGAAAAAACTGTCATGTTCTTGAACAAAATTATTTGTGTTGAAAAAACATTACTCAACCCATACACACCATTTCCAGTTGCACCATTTCTTATATGTTGTTTGTTGCAGCATTCATTGTGTTTATATTAATTATAGCTATAAGAATCAGTAGACCTGTAATAACGTGAGCTCTGAATACAATGGAGGGATTAGTTTACAAAGCACCCCAGAAATGAGAAAAAACCTCCTGTGATGCTTTTGTAGGAAAACCTGTAGTAACAGCTGAAAAATGAAACTGCCATGTCTAAGATAGATTGATAGAATACTTGTAATTTTATCTCTCCGAGCTTCTGTTTTCAACACTGCAATCCATGGTGCTGTACTGCTTTATGACAGAGGAAGCTTTAAACATTCTTTAATCCTCAAAGCTTGTTTAATTCTGGGTTTGTTCTCCCCTGCCAAAACAGCCCAGAATAGCCCTGACTGCAGCCATACCATATGATCTAGGGAGAGCTTTGTGACAGAATTAAGCCAGGATTGCCAAACATTTACCAAGATCTGGCTGTGAATATTCAGCCCCACACAGGAACAATCCATCAGTGATCTCTTACCATTGCTATGCATTTCCTGGTGGGAATCAGAGAGATTTGTCATCAAAGTCTCTCGAACAGTAACCATGTGTCCGAGAGGCTGTAAAACTAAATAAAGTCCATTCCAAGCACCTCTCCAAATCACTCGTCAGAAATCTTTCCCTAATCATACCATTCAAACCATCAACCAAACAAGCCTTAAAGAAAAACAAAGTAGAAAAATATGTGATCCAAGCATCTTCTTGGATGAAACAAATCACCCAAAAACCACAGAAAAAACCAGAGGAAATTAGGATGTTAGCTATTTCCCTGCAAACCCATGACAGTGACTCACAGAATCAATTGTACCAAATAGACGATTGTTGGGAGAAAACACGATCATCAATGAAACAAAAAAGCAGCAACAAAGCACACAAAGAAGGAGGCTGTGAGCTCATCACAACTCCTGTTTGAAAGAACTTTATGGCTGTAAACATCATGCAATTCAGTGACACTGTATTGTAAATTGAAGGAGAAGTTTAATTCCTAATGTTTTATCAACTCTTAACTTTGGACCACTAAGACGTTCTTTTGGCGGAAGTTGCAATTTTGACAAAAACAAGAGCTTAACACTTCCACAACTTAACACTTTCTGGCAAATGTGGTCACAAATATGAGTTTGAATCCTTAACACTCTTCTCTCATTCCAGAAAAGATGGCTTTTGTACGGCTATTCATTGGAAAGTGCTCTTATGCAAATCAAATTTTTGTAGGCCACTGAGAAGCAAAACTCTGAATGTTTTCAGAGTTTTATTATATTGTACTGTATTACTGTTTTATGATATCACCACAATGTAAAAGTAACATCTAACTATATAGAGGCAGTCCCTTAATTAAACTGTCCTCTGTAATTAAAAGGAAATTCCTATAGACACTCATTCCTTTGCTGCCTTTCCTCAGATTTTGTTTTTAAGAAAATCTCTTGCCCCAAATATTCTATGAGTTCAAGCACCTTATGGAAACTAGCAGGCAAAAGGAAGCAAGGTATAATGAGACATTGGCAGAGAACTGAGACTATGTTTAATAAAATGTTCCTTAAATCATGAAGTTTCCTAAACAGATTTTAATCTTTAAAGTTTCACCTCTTATAGCCTGTAGCATAATACTTGAGCAATGCTTTTAAAAGTGTTTACCTCTATAGAATGCGTCACAGTGCTGATTACAAAAATTTGTCCACCACATGCAGCCCAAATGGTCTCCTCCATCACAAGCAGACTTCTAACAGGCAGAACTCCCAATTTAACTGTCTTCTGAGGTTCTGTGTTCCATGTCCCATCTTGAATAAAAAAGAAGAAGAAAGGTTATACACAACCAAATGGTGATCTTTGCTTTAAAACAGTTCTGAAAAGCCTACTGTTTGAATTTCTGGGAGTTGTCACTTCAAGCTATGCTGTGATTTATGTATGATTAATTCTAGCTTCCAGGGTAGGTCTGTAAGGATAATACAACATTACAGGGAAAACTCAAAACCAAGCACTCATATATCTGTCAATTGAATAAATTTTATCTAGATTAAATGATAATCCAAGAATCTCAAATTGCTGTTCTGATTCAACTGCTTTCCTTTCCAGAAGAAATACAGTCAGAAAGCCATGGCAGACACAATTGTCTTCAACTCAGGAGGAGCTCACAATCAACTTATTTCAAGATGAATCAATTTCCAACTAGGACAGATTAATCTTTCATGTGAAAAGTTGCCATCCAGATTTTTATGGTAGGCTCTAACGAGTTCAGATGACTCTCTAAGAGCATTTTGACAGAATGGACCTTCCTGCTACTAGATGCTTCATTTAGGAAGGAAATTTAAAAAAAAAAAAAGACATTAAAACTTAGTCTTGTGCCATATCTTCACTTTTCTTATTTATTCCCCTAACTATAAAACCCAAAGTGTTTTCTTTGGACTGCATTTATCAGATCAAAATTACATTTTGCATGTGTACTTGGCACAATCAGTTATTCAGCGAGCTTCTGATAAGAAATCCATGTCACTACTTCCTGCTCTGGTCATTCTCACTTGCCATCTCTTTGAAACAAGGATTAGGAGATTATTTATCCCCTAAATTAAAAACCAGAAACATATGCTTCTTGAAATAATTGCAGCTCTATCTTTTATACATACAAATTGACATCCCAAATATCACAATAATAATTTTAATGCTTTCATGTTAGTTTATATATTGTAAGTGCTCACTGAACATAGTCTCAAAGATCACATTTCTATACATTATGATTTATTAATAATATAAAAATCTGTTGAAGTATCTGGTTTTTTACACTAAGATAAAATACATATTTAAAAGCACCATCTCCTGATTTTAAAGTTTTCTTTCTCTACGAGCTGCAGAAAAGTTGTCTATTCACACTGGTTTCAACTCAGTAACCACTTCAATTTTGATTGATGAGACCAAGGTAAACACATCTTTAGAGAAGTATTTAATTTTTTCTTTTCCATCCTGAAAACAAGTGTATCTTTTATTATTTTCTTAGGTGAATGAGGTACAACATTTCCTTCTTCACCAATAACAGCAGCAATGAAAATGAGAAGCCTCATTTCTAAAGTACTTCTCAATACTTCTGTCATCTGTATGATACAACCTTTGCTGAGTCATATTCAGGATGTGGCCCTCTTCTGAAAGCATTCTTGTAAAAGTGACATTTAGTTTCAGACTGTCAAAACAATTTTCATTATTTTAGTTTGCATTGAGAAGAGTGCCTCCAGTTATTAGCGTGCAAACTCTCCCAGCAATGTCAAAGTTATTCTGTGTTCTTTGTGACTCATATGAACTATTAGTAATAAACAAACTTCTTGAAAAGTTTTCATTCGCTAGCAACCACATTATCCTCAAATTAAATTCTAAAGTGGAGGCTGCCCATACTCTATTAATGCTGTAACCACTGTAGGCAGTGCAAAACCTTCAGAGAGTGAAACTGCACACGTGTGTGGCCCAACTTTCATTGTGTAAGGGATGCTCACTGCAGAAGTTGTAACAGCATCCTGTATGTAGCACCCTTTTTTGGGATAAGCCCAACATAATTCTAGTACATTCTTGCTACCTTTTCTGAAAGATAAAGACTGTGAATTTGTGCAAAGTGCAGATATGCAGAACAAAAAGCTATCTTTTCTTTTGTAGTTATATTTTCACACTGAACGACACAACGTACAGAAAAAAAATAGTGGAACTTCCAGATCAGACAGCATCTGAGACAGATGAGGGGAATAAAAGGGTAGGGGGAGACTCTCTAGTCTGGTAATTAGGCAGTATTTAAAGGATGGGTCATCCGTGTTCAGCTCCCTGCCTCAGTGAATGATTAAATAATTATACAAATTGGAACGACACCAGGAGGAGAAATTAAGCACTGTGCATCTCTCTCCTCTTATTTGGTGGCAGCCAGGGAAATCTGTTGAGAGTGGGAAGCATGGGTAAAAATCTTCTCAATAAGGCAAGAGATTAAGTCTGGTAATCCAACACACTTGTGTAAATGCTTTATCCACAGGCTGCTGGCTAAAAGAAAGATCACATCACTATGCTGACCAAGAATTTTATCACCCATCTGCAAAATTACTCAGCAAGTCTGTGTCTAGTTCACAAGTTGTTTTAAGACTATCAAAATCACACTTACAGAAAAACATAATACTCTCCCCTGCCTCTCTCTCCAGATCTCAGCAGACCCTATTCAACACCTGCCTGCACAGACTTCATGTTTGATGCTGGCTGTTTCATCTTATCTGCCTGATTCAACGTCCATTGCTTCTAAAATCTAAGTGAAAAGAAGCATTATTTCTATTCTATTTGTGTAAACACCTGCAGATTCAAGACAGACTTATGTAAGTAGTTCCAACAACTGGAACTATCCATGTAGTTAAAATTAGGCCCAGCACTTTCAAAAAAGATAAGGAACAGCCTTGTTTGATGCTGTAAAATCCTTGGTTAGTTACAGACTGAATAAATTTATTTTTTTGCTAACAAAAAAGAAAAGAAGCAGAAATAGTAGCTGAGATAAAACTTTTGCCAACAAAATCTCAAGGCATACAATAGGACAACACCAGTGCAAGGACCCCAGCAAACTATTGTCTGGAAAGCAGGAATTGAACAACAGAAAAACAAACAGTGGAGATGTATACAGCATGAGTCCTGGAGATCTGGCTGGAGATTACCTGCAGGAGTGCTCACAGAAGTGTGGCTTGTCTTAGAATTCTGCTCAATCAATGCCTTGCTTGTGTTCTCTAAATAAACATAATTTTAGTTTCAGGAAGATTTTATGGTCACTGTTGTCTCTAGAATGATGAAAAGCCACACAAAATAAAATAAATTTTTCTTCTACCTATGAGGTAAATATATGGAACCAAATGAGATGTGATATGCAGCACATACATCCTATAACCAGAGGTCAGTCTTCTGTGTAAATCAGATACCTGCACCCTGAGCAATTACAAGACCAAAGCCTGACACCTGTGGTAACATGAAGGAAACTGTGGAAGAAGAGACAATAATTCTGCTTTGTGAGAAAAGTCCAGACAAGTACTAACAACACGAAGATTACTGTATGATTTGCAAGTTTTATTTGACTTGGATCTTAAACTGGCTTCATCAAAGCAGGTGTAGACTCTTAATATAAGTACACCAAATGCTTGATATCCAGGATATGACAGCCTCTGTTAGTTTCAATAACATTATTGTTAATAGAATATAAGCATCTATATGAACTGCAGGTGCAGCTATTTGCAGGAATGAGAGGCATCTACAAAATCTGAGAACAGGGGCAAATACAGAAACGAATCTAGGGGCTTCTGGGAATTAGATGATGAATATTTATGTTATATAAAAACAGTCTGATATTTACATATTAGATTAATATTTTAAAAAATAGAAGACAGTTTTTATACTAATAGATCTGTTTTGTGCCATTATTTTTAATACTCTCTGTAAGTTATATTTCTCAAGTAGTTATGCCATAGTGCCATAGTTTATATCCCAATGTTGAACAGTACCTTGCAATGCTTTTATCAGGCAGTTTAGCTGCATCAAAGATATCTCATGCTCATAAAATATTTCTAAGGTTTTAATGTATAAGGATATTTCTGCTAGTTAATTTTGTTGTGAGTCTTGTGATTTTTATGAATTTTGGAAAATTAGTTATTTTTCTATTCACTCATATTTAATAAGATAGGAAGGTTTAAAACAATGTTCATTTTATAGAACAGAATGTTGGCTATTTTATCTTTCTGTGGTTTGTTTCCATAAAACCTAGTGAAGGAAAGTAATACTATTTTACAGTAATTTACAAATCTCTTATTTAATTTATAAATAATTTCTTAATATTTAGTATTTTTCATAATTATAATTAGTTGGCAAGCTCAAGTCTTCATATGAGATAACTTATTAATGTTAACATATAGTTTATTTCCTCAGAAAGTCTTCTCAAAGTTTGTAGCAGTTTTCTCTTCTTTCACACTTTCAGTCGAGCTGAACCAAACGTGCTTTTTTGTTGACAGCTTCCTCTCTTGCTTAGCAGCACTATTGATGATTTCAACAGAGCTGCCAACACAGCCCTGGGAACAGCAGTTCTTGGTTAATTAGTGCAGTGGAGCACAAACATTTTTTCCATCACATGGTACATAAACCAGCACTGTGGAGGAGTAAAACGGTAGCTACAGAAGTAAAAAGTTTAGCACATTCCTTACCAGTTGGAAATAAGATGAGAGAGTCAGGTCTGCTCTTCTAAATAACATATAACTAGGAGTGTCCTATGCTATACATGCATAATCATTTTTTCCACATATGCATCAAATTCTTCATGCTAAATAGCTGACAGAGCTCTATCTAACGTTACAGAGAGAGAGGTGCTGGAGCTCCCGGCAGGAGATATTCAAGTAAGAGCCACAGCAATGTCAGTGTATTCCTGGTAACTATTATTATGTGTTACTGCTAACAGTGACAATGCAGTCAAGACAACAGTATTTATTTCAATATCACTGCTCTAGTCCTCTCTCTAACAGCTTAATGTCACTTCTTACTTTTCACAGCAGTACCTCTCACCATGTCTACTCTAAGTGGCAATCACATGCCAGAAATGCACTCTTCAGACAAGCTGGAATCTACTTGTCAATCAATCCACTCAAGCTCTGAAATCAGTGCTTTACATTTTGACATCAGTGCTTTACATTCCACATATTCCTCCTTTCCTCAAATTTTGTCCTCCAACAAAAGACAAAAGTGTCTTACTAAATGAATCAAGGAATCTTACCAATAAACTGACTTGCTACTCCTTCACTGTTGTAACTGTCTCCCCTTACTCTTGCATTTCCTCTCAGTTTTGATCATTTTCCTTGATACTAATCCTCTGAAAATGCTCACTGATTAGTGTCATGGGGCCTCTTTGGACAGGTAAGTCATCTTCAGAGATCCCTAAGTTTTTACTGGTGAAGTCTCTTTGAAGAACATAAACTTCTGTTCTGTGCATGGCCAGAATTGCCTCAGCTGTTGGTTGTTTCACATTCAATTGCAATCCTCAAAGCTGAGCCTTTCTTCTTTTCATAAATCTCAGGGCCAGAACCTAGCAGCATATACCTACAGGAACAGGCTCCACAAAAACCTGTTAGAAAATACAGCTTTTGTTAAAACACGCAAGAGTTTTCTCTTATGGGTGTGTGGGCTCATTTCTCTCTATGGCAAAAGATGACTCTCATGAGTATCTTCAGGCTTCCAGAAGAGACCTCTAGCCACCCAGGTGACAGATACTTGGAGCGGCAATGGCAGCATTGGCATCCCTTCTCCATGCTCTTGGGAAAAAAAGGAATTAAAGACTGGGTGAGAGGCAACAGTGCAAAAGTTTATATATTAAAGAAACATTTGATAAAATAGAGGTCTCTTCAACTGAAAATCTAGTGCCTTACCCGTGAGGATACTATATGAGAAATTCTATGTCCTTTTTCTCCTAGCCTCTTTTAAAAACAAAGCTGCATGATTCATCCTCAGCTTGAGAAACTCACCATAGCTGCAAGCTCTCTGTGAAACACAAGTAGCACTTCTCTAGCTCAGAAGCACCTGGAAGTAGGATGATGTTTAGAAATGCCTAGTTTCAATTTCTTAAAGCTTTCTTTGGACATCTCTCTACTCAGTGTCACAGAATAGCTGAGCTTAGATGGGACTTCTGGAAATTACTTGTTCCGACCTGCCTGCTCAAGCTGAGTCACCTCATGCTGGCTGCCCAGAACTGTGTCCATATGGCTTTGAATATCTCCAAGGATGGAGACTCCACAACCTGTGTTCCCTGATGTTCAGATGGCACCTGCAGAGAGGTGGATCACCAAATATGCCTAATGGTATGAGTTTAATTCTGGCAGTAAGCATGCAAGAACTCACTGTGCTGTACACACCAGTGAGAGGCTACACATACCAATCATTGCAATCAAAGCAGCACATCTGTTTTATGCATCTGCTCTCTCATCCTAACCAAACTCTTTCTGAAACTACTAATATATTAATTCTTTTACTCTCTGCCACAATCACTGAGTTTTTACTTTCTTTTTTCCTGTTTCTCTCCATATTCTTTACAGGACTTTATGGAAAGGAAATGTGTATCAGTGCCTAGCAGAAAGGAAGTAGCTGGAACTGAGTACAGCGTATCAGGAACAATACACCTATATTACATAAAGATTGTGATTTCCCTTTCCTAAGACACTTTTGTGAATGGAAGTCAAACAGGCATTGACCTTTTTTGCTATTACATCACTCAGAAAACACATCTGCTGGGCTGTCTGCAATCATCACAAAGGGGTTTTGTTTGTTTTTTTTTTTAACAAAGACAATACAATGTACTTTTCCCTTAACTTCTTCTAGAAAAGTGCTTTGTCTGGAAATATTCCTAATAATTCAACCTGAGGCAAACATTAAATGCAGAATTTTTCAGACTGATAACTATGCAAAAGTTAATTACCCTGTAAAACAAAGTCCTGACAGATGAGGTGTCAGAAATTTTGCAATCTGCATTGCTCCCATTCCTATATACAACAGCATTTAATGCATTAGCTATTTCACAGTTCCCCAAAGTAGTCTTCTCACTCACATGAAATTAAGGATTATTGATAATAATTAATGATTATTTTTAGAATTAACATATTAGCTGACCTATATCCTACTTTTCTGTGACATTTTCACAGATCACCATGTTAGTTCATATTTAAGAGCTGAGTAGGTTTTATGATACCAGCGCCTCATTGACTCTGCTTTTAATTTATGTTCAAATACATAAATGAGGCTTAAGTACTTTTTACCTCATACGTGAAAATACACGGATACAGAGATGTCTCCACAAAACATGACTACCCTCCAGAAAGGAAGAAATCTCACTGCACACCTCCAACCTCTCACTAATGGCATTTGTTCCTCGGTTTACTGTACATACTTCTCAGTTTCCCTTTTATATTACTTCAAGACAAGATTTTCTGCAGCCAGAGAGCGTTCTGGATTCTGTTGATCTGACAAAGCTCTCTAGTGAAGAAAGTCAGAAGAGAGCACAAGCTGGATATTTACATGCATTGAGCCACCTGAAAACAACAGGAGAAATTAGAGCTGTTTGGGTACTGAAAACCAAATTACACAAGTCATGGGTCTTTGACTACCTACAGTAAGGCATCAGGCTTCAGTGACTGAACTGATCTGCCACACTTTCTGCCCAGGGAGGAAAAGAAAAGGATCACAACTCTATCAGAAATTGTGAGGTAGATTTTTATCCTAGAAGAAAGATTATCCTTTTTCATTCATGGAGTTGCACAACAGGCTGCACAACCACTTTATCTGTGCATGTCATAGCATTTGTCCTCAGGCTTCAAATCAAGATATATTGTAATGCACTGACATATTTCACATTTGCTTTAAATCTTTTCTTAATCTCCTTAATGATAACAGACCAAAACCCAAGGTGAAGTGCATGGCTGGAAAGTAACCCCCTCTGCAGAACAGAAGGCGACCCTGATGAATTGCACAAAGCTCCTCAGAGGCTGCATTCCCCCTCCCTCCCATTCCACTGCTTGGATTCCTTTGTTTGGTAAAATAGGTCAGCGTTCATAAAAACACCCCTCCAGGCAGACTGTCTCACATAACCACAGCAGCCAACTATAAGGAAGACGGGAGCAGCTGAATCCCACAACTTCCATGGGGTATGGAGAACTGAAACAACACACACTGACCAAGATGTAAGAAAAGGGACCACAAGATGAGTCAGAAAAATGTGATTATTTCCCATCCCAAAGCTTCAGCGATCCTGACCTAGACTCTGACAGTCTCTGTTAGTATTGAGCTGCACAAAACCTGTGTCTTCAAAAGACATAAAATAAACAGGGAATGCTGTGATCCTGGTTGATGCAAGAACCTCCAGCTAGTAATGTAATTCAGTCTGGTTAACAGCTCTGCCCCATTCTTAACATTTTCTGTAGTAGATGTGCAACTCATGATCTTTTCTTAGCTACACTGCCAAAGGAATACAGCTGAACTGTTTACAGGGCCCACCTCATTAGAGAAGCGTGACAACCACCGTTATGCAGCTCACACAAATAAGGCAGACCAAATCTCTGCTGGCTCTGCACTTGGCAAGGTTAGGAGTCTCTGCTAATGTCTCAATTAAAAATTCAGGTTTCAAACCTTGAGTCTTGCTGTCTTTGAACTGAATTAACTAGATATGTATACAGTACTGCAGGAGAGTTAGTGAGATATACTGGAGTATACAGACAAGAACCTGAACCACTTCTGGAGAAGACTGTTCTGGTTTAGAAGAATTACCTGTGATTCTCCTTTATTCAAATTATTTTAGCCAATTATTCAGCTAGATACAAAACAACCAACTGTGATGCTAATAGAAAAAGGAGTCCTACCATGAAATACATGAACTGCACACATAGGAAAGACTTATCCTATCTGTACAGAAAGAATGGGGTTGTCCTTTTAAATGAGGTATACAGAAATCTCTATCAATAGGGAATTTTTGTCTTTCATAAACACCAATACTGGGTAGTTGAGTGGAATTAGCATTGTGCTGTGTAAAGTACAGTATACTGCTTGTTAGTGCATAAACTTCTGGACTCTTGCAACACTGAAGATCTCAGGGTTAAGCTAAGGGGAAAAAATTAGTTTTCACATGCACATATGGTGAAAGTGGGAACAGTATCAAAATCTCTACCATCCTTCAAAAAGAGAAAACAAGTCTCTTCAGATGTACCGGAAAGCCCAGTAACCTTAGTTCCGCAGTTTTACAAAGAATTTTCGGAAAATATAGTAGCGGAAAACTACTTCTGCCAAAATACACTGACATGTGAGTTCCTCAGGATGCCATTAAATCATATCACTACATTACCTTCTGCTTTTGTGTAGATTGAGATGTTTCCATTTACTAAGCCAGCAAACAAGTATTGAGACCTATATGTTAAGCTCATAACAGTTGATTTTTCAGGAGTGAAGAAGTGCTGAAGTCGAATTTTCTTTGAGCCTTGGCAACTTTTGTAAATAGAAATGCTATAAAAAGAAGCAAGAAAAAACAGACCTGTGACATTATGCTTTATGTAGTTCTTAATAGAATATGCAAATGAGAGGTTTAGAATAAAATATTAGGGGGGGGAAGATTTTCTCCTTTATTCTTGACACTCCAGAATGTCTATGTAGATAATTTGCAATTACTTAACATTGACATATGACAACACTTTCATATTACCTTGTCTGAAGAAACATTTTTTCAATGAAGAGGTATAACAGAAATTCTGCTCAAAGTCTTCATTATGAGTCTATCCAAAATATTTATTAATTACAAAAAAAATAGGTATTACCTGGAGAACTAGGGACAAGAAAAACTCGCTACCAGATGTCAATTATACTTAAAATTTACACCATTCCTACTGATTATTACCATGGGTATGTTAGGAATACTGTTAAATCTGGAATTAATTGCACTAATTTCTGGAAACATGGCATTTTCCTTGGAGAATTTTGTTCTTCTCTTAGACTGGTTAGAAATATCTTCCAAAATAACATGTAGTTACGCAGTTATGCCCTCACTAGCTATAACCAGATCTCTTTGGTTACAGACCTAATAGTTCAGAAAATGTAGCCTTGTTCTACAGTATAAATCAAGTGATGAGTCAGTAGGCCATCAGTTCAGAGTAAAATAATTCATGTCAATACTAAACAGTAATATTATCCATTCGCATGGCAAATCCTGCATAACATCACAGCGTAGAAGGTTAATGGATTCCTCTTTGCCATTCTGAAAGTTTTCCAATACCTGAAGATTATGTTGTAACATTACAAAAGTAATATTTATATTTTTCAGATATGATGCACAATTAATTAATCCTCTTTCATCAGAGAGATGCATTGCTTTAATTTTAAATACTACAAGGTATATTTTAAAATAATGTAGAGTGTATTTTTCCTTGATTTAAGTGGAAAGACTACGTTGAGGTCACTGGGATAACACATGGATACTTCTTAAAAAAGCAAATATTTTCTTGGAATTGACCCTGAGCTTAGCTCAGTTGGTTAGAGCATGGTGTTGATAACACCAAGATTGCAGGTTCAATCCCCACACTAGCCATTCACATAAGAGCTGGACTTGGTGATCCTCGTGTGTCCCTTCCAACTCAGAATATTCACTGTCTGTGAAATGTATCACACAACTTTGCTATAGAATAGTAAACCTAATGAATAAATCATACGCATTACACCAAAAACAAGAATCACCTTCCTTCTTCCATGCCAAGGCAAATAGTAGGCACATTAGAAGTTGTTGCAAGAACATTTTCAGAGTCTAAAGCTTTGTTTTGCTCTTTCAGCTTCTCCTCCTCTGGTATGTAGACCATGCAGAGAATCCGTGATTCCACATTGAAGCACTCAATAACCTTGGGGCTGGAGCTTTGAAATGAGACTATTGCAATCTGGCCCATCTGATTAGTACAGCTGCCAATCTGAATCGGAAAAAGGAAAATAAAAAGAAATATACCAAGACTGAGCTGTCTCCAGGAAGATCAGCATTTACAAGCAGGAATGACTGGAATGTTAACTGAAGAGTGTATCTCAAGTTGTATGTGTGAATATGAATTTTCATGCATTAAGACGTAAGAAAATAATTCAGCACAAATACAAGAGATGTCAAAACATTATGTACGCAAAATTGCCTTATACACTCACAAAACCAGTTCTTTATTTTTTGAAAGCAGGAATAATATTATGGCCTATTCTGATGTCTGACTCAAAAGTATATACTTCATGTAATGCAATTACAATAAGTACCTGTGTAATATATTATTTTAATAACAGGTGTTCTAAGTTATTTCAGGTTCTCTTAAATGCATTACCTCAGGTAATGCATCTGAGGATTGTCCTTTGCACCATAACAGGTCTACAAAGAAATGCTCTGTGCCAACAGAAAGAGGGATTATGTAATATAATCCCTTTTGTAAACTTGCTGATACAGGATCCTAAATTTCAATCTGATCCAGAAATAAGTATCATTAATATGTACACAAATTTGTATATTTTAGAGATCAGAGAGAAGTAAAGAAAAAAAAACAAAACAAAGAAACCCTACCCAAACAGAAGTAAATGTTTCTATGTAGTAACACTTTATGTTTGTAAAAAATGAAAAAACACAGGAAACAGAAAGAAAGGATATTTTGTGGCAGTAGAAAGTTTTAATTGGTATATATTTACAAATAGCAAAGACAAAGAAATTATATGGGTCACCTTGAAAAAGATCACCAACAAAAGCTATTTCTTTTAATTCACAAGACTAGCCTAAAATTTCAGTACTATAGTAATAAGAAAAGTTCCTGAAATCATTAGTCTGCTTTTTTTTAAAAAAACCCAAAACCATATTGACTACCTCACTTTGTCTGCTGGAATATCTGTATATTTGGGGTCATAACAATCTGCTAGAGTAATTTTTTTCCTATGTACAGGTTTAAACAGATTATTAATGGCTAAAACATTCTTAAAATATGAAAACAGACAATAGGACAGCATGAGCTCATATGGGTTTTAGCAGCCCTCATTATAAATTAGCACATAACTCCCTCATGAATGTGCTCAGCTGTCTGGAATTTGTTCTGTGCTGCACTAACAAATCACACACACGTAACTGACTGCCTACAGAGAACAGCAAGATCACATGGACAAATTACTAGCTATCCTTTATAGAAGTCTATCTTTAAACAAACAAAGAAAAAAAAACACCTAGGTTTTTTTTTTCAGATCTCTATGTCACAAAAAAAGTCACAAAAAGCAACGGAGAAAAACAGGAGACAACCCTTCAGCTTTTAAAGATTATGCTTACCCAAAGAAAGCCATGTTCCATGGCACAGGAATCTGACTCTGTTTCTCCAGAGAGGTATGGCTCCGGATTATAAGCTGCACATTCAACCTTCAAAGAGAAGAAAAGAGAGCTGTTACCACACTAGAAAGATATGCCTGTTTCTGTCTCTTTTAGGTTGCAATTAACTAAAATGTTTAACGATATCAAAAAATCCCAAAAGGCACTTAGTCACTTTAGTCCATCCAGTTTCCCATGGGCAGGGTCAGCTGCATCGGTATTGTTCACGACATATTCCTTATCTACTCTTAAAGACGTTTGAAGCCAAAGACTACAAACTCTCCAGCTGATCTGCTCAAATGCTTCATGATTTTTATTAAGTTCTTCCAAATACCCAACCTAACGTCATCCTTGTTATAATCATTAGCCTATTACCTCTCATCTCAGCCACCAGGTACTTCTTTTTCTGCAGTGTCCTTTTACACATAAGGCTTTTATATGTCATGATCTTGTCTGAGACTCTTCTTCATTAGGCTAAATCAACATTATCACTTAATCAATTAATTATTTTTTTACAAATAATTGATTTTTTATATTCTTGTTTTTAAAATTATTATCATCACTTCTCAAACTGGCATCTCTCCAGTAGATGTATCAGCCTCGTATATCTGAGAGCAAAGAACTTTCTCATCTGAACATGCCATTCTAGCAGAGCTGTGAGCAGTACTACACCATGGCTACCTCTTCTGAAGCCTGTTTCTACAAATCCCATTGATTGATTGTGCTTTGTAACAGTATTACATTCCTAACCAATCCTTAGCTTGCTGGTCTATTAAAATGACTTTAACAGACCCTTCCACTCAAACACCTCTTCAATCTGTACTTGTGAAGCTCTTAATTTCTCCCTGAGTATACCATGTGTCTGTCCTGCTGACTGTCAGCTCTTTTATTTTTTTTTCCTCTCAGATTATTTCTCCAGGTGCTTTATTCATTTTGAATGCTAATGCTATCTTCCATAATACCCTTACTCCATCCCAACCTCATGTCATCATATTACTGTCAGTAAATTAATAACCATACTCATGATTTTATCATGCAGACCATTTAAAAAAACCCTGAAAGTTACACCAGACTCAAGATCTATGTTTAAGTCCATCCCAACTCTGCAGATTGTTCAAGCATAAAGGATCTGAAAACATTTTTATGACCAGTCATGAATTTCTAATTTCCCTAATATCCATGGTAGAGTTCCCTAATGCTTAGTGAAACAATTCAAAATATATAAATTTGTAACTGTTTATGTAATCAAAAGGTTTCTAATGAGGTGGGATACGACATTTTTACACAAGGTTCTCTATAATTCCCACTAATGTTCTCACCTCAGATATCGCTGTGATTATATTGCAGTACTAGAAACAACTTGGCTAGTATGAACTTAAGACAACTTCACCATAACCTGCAACATCACTTCTCAACAGTGAATAATTAAAAAGAAAAAAAGAAAGAAAGAAGCAGGCAAAAGCTAAGAGTTGTAAATTCCAAGTTTACTTAATTTTCCAAAGCGCAAAGAATTTCACAAATCTCCCTTTAGTCAGCAGGCTTCAGGTGATTAGCCTGAGTAAAAAGTGATTATCCTTACTAAAAACAATGTTATTTTTTCACCAACGCAATTCACTATACAGATAAAAGACTGAAATCAACAGATGAGAAAAATAGAAAAAAAAAATAGAGCTATCCATGCCAGTCTTGACATGTCTCATTTAACACATGCTGAAGCTATCTACTCATAGTGGTGACTTACAGTAGCTGTGACAATGAAATACGTCCCTAGTGAAAAACAAGACAGCCTGCATGCTGTGTATTTCCAGGCTGCTTGTTGCATCTCTCTGTCCCTTTGCATCTTAGTCAAAACTGATGATATTTTTTCATAGTTAAACCCTGCTAGTTTAGCTCTCGATCTTAACAGAAGCCTAGTGTGTAAACTTGCTCTGATGAGAGAAGTTTTTACAAGCTCCTTACACCACTGGGCAGCCTGAGCAGCAGAGAGAGAGCTATCAAGGAGGATTAGCCAAGCAAAGGGTCTCGTTCCAGCCCAAGACCTGGCCTGACACCCTAACAAACCACCAGTAGTACTTAAATCATATTTTCTAGTAATATCAAGGACTTGGAAGAACAAGTCATGACCAGCTGGGCTCACACCCACATTATCTTTAGGAGGCACAAAACCAGTAAAGTTGACCCAGAGCTCAGGCAAATGCCGTCACACTCTCCTGAGGTACCAAGGCAAAGACCATCACCCAACTGTACAGGCAACAGACTCCTCCTTCTTTTCAAAACAAAGATCCTGTTCTAACTTGATTACAGAAGTCGAGCATGGCCCTTCACGGCTTCTGGCCTGGATCTCCAGGACTTACAAATGCTTAAGCTCCAAGGAAACACATACATTTTAGGTTTCTGCAAAAAAATTAGTTGACTTTTTCACCAATGGTGACTTTATAAAGTATTCAATATAGAAAAAACTGTTTAATAAGATAAGAATGACTATGGTTGTGTGAGAAATTAGAGAGTTTCAGTAGTCTAAACCACAGCTCTGCTCTGAAAACCAGTATCATAGGAATGGCTTAACACTATTACACATTTCAACTGCATTTCTAACTAGCAACTATTTTCCTCCAACATCCAGGCCTGTATACTCACAGTTGGAGTGAAGCTGCCAGCTGCACTTCCCTCCTGTAAGCTGTCCTACAGGGAGGGCATGCAGTGTCCATGCAATGATGTTAATTTAATATTGGGATTCTGGCCATACATACCCAATTTTATTTCCATTAGTGTCTTTGCATAAGCCTAACTGACTGATGGTCAAAAAGAAATCCTGTTGATACACAGGAAAAAAACAGTATCCAGTACCCTTCCCTTCCATCTATTGGCCCGGACATGCTGTACTTATTTTCCTAATTAAAGCCAGTGGTCGGTACGACTTCAAACTGACATATTACTCTAGGAAGTCAACTATTAAGACAATTTCTGTATCATTATTCAGAACAGAACTACATTTTTTATACGATCCCACAAAATATAATTTTAAAAACTATTTTAAAACTATTGTTCTCTGTGCACTAATGTAAATCAGAAATTTGAGGAGGATTCACCACAGTTACACCAGTAAAGGACAGCTATCATGGAGATCAGAGTCCTGCACTTTATAAACTTTAGGTTACTTCCAAGCCCCTAACACACACTTGGAAAACTCAAGACAAATTAAAAATTCCCAGCAGTTCTGTTTACACTGAGTGATGAGCTTACATCTGAAAGTCAATGTCACACTATATAAAAGTAAACATGATGTTCCTAGTATTCCTCTGACCCTCTTGGATCTTTCACTGCTACTGGTCTTGCACCAAGGTAGTAACTCAAGAGAACTAGTAGCTGTATTTACAATATGGTATTCTTTAGCAGTTATATCACACAAAAAAGCAATTGTAATCTCATATAAAAATACTGTTCACCTTAAATTCCTGTTGCTTGGCCATCATCACTGGCATATGTCTAACAAGGAGAGGATGTTTCTCTTTTTTTATTTGATTTCCATCATCTTCTACGCAGAACCAACCTAATAGGTTATCTTCCACTGCAATGGGAAGAACAAACAACAAACATCCTGCAATACTTTCACTGAATAATCATTTTCAACTTTCCACAGGAACAGAAAAGAACTCTCTTAGGACTCGTCAATACTGATCAGGCTGTTCTCATGCTATATATGCTTAAATGACAACATAAAACGATGACCAAAAATTCCATTGAGTAGATTACATACATTCTGATTATGCAAAAAAAAAAAAAAAAAACACCTTACATTAGCAAAATGGTAGTTTCTTAATGATCTTGTCAATTGGTTATTGAAAGAGAAAAACACACATCAAATTTCTTCTTAGACTCTAGAAAATTTGTTTGGCAAATAGCATTTCTCTGCCTGTGTAAGAGCACCAACCAGCATGGTGCTAAGATCACCAAGGTTGTGGGTTTGATCTCTGTATGGGTCATTCACTTAAGAGTTGGACTTGATGATCCTTGTGGCTCCCTTCCAACTCAGAATATTCTGTAACTCCTCTCTACTATTTATCATAATTGTAAGGATCCTCCACCTGGAATGATGGAGACATCCATTCTCTCTTCTTTTTTGTTATTTTGCCCGCCTTCAGTGAGTCACCATAAAAACACTCTATTTTAATGATACGCTGGTGAAACTTGCTTTGTAGCAAGTTAATGTTTCTGAATTTAGACATTCAAAATGCCAGGTATCTTTGAAAACCTATAGCCCTGTGGAAACAGAGGAGATTAATAACATCACAGGACAGCACATTTTTTACTGCTCCCACTAAGATCAGGTCTGTTGGTGTGAAAACTACAGTGTTATGTTAAAAAAAAAAAAAAAGAAAAAAAATGAACAAAAAACCAATTCCCTCACAAAAAGCTGAGTTTTACATATCCAGCTATAGAAATTTTGCATTAATAAAACTACACCCATAAGTTTATAATGCACTTAAAAAGATAAACAAATCAATCCAACAGCCTTAACTGACAATTCCTACAATTATTCCTAGCTAGAATAATTCTGAGCTAAAACTGAGAAATTTGAACCTGAAGTTCAAAGTATAAAAAGTTCATAAAATCCTAAGAAATATGTTTATAGTCAAATAACTTCCTCACCTGTCTGTCCTGTAGTCTATCTCTTTCTTTTCGATTTAAATGTAACAATTATAAAAGATCACCAGACCTCATTGAAATACTTTGCTTCATAATGAAGGCCTCATCTTATCTATTATGTTATTATTTTATAGTGATACACAATCACTACTGTTTACTGTACTGTGTTTTAAAATATCTGCAGACAAATTTTCACAAAAAAAAAAAATCTTTTAAAAATAAAAAAATTAGATTATACATTTAGAGCTATTTTAACTTGATAGGAAATTTGAGTAACTAAAAATTACCAAGGGCTAGTTTAGCCATTTGTAAATTGTTGATCCAAGCCTGTTTGATGGCAGGGGTAAATGTATTGAATACAGCTGTAAAGAAAGTTGGCCTCCCAGACCTGCAATTAAAAAAAAAAAAAAAAGCCACCAAATGCATTTATTATGAGATACAGCCAAGTCTAGAAATGTTGAGCATGATGAAATTTCATTATTTTCTAATACTTAGACAAAGACACAGTTCTGATATAAACATATAGGCTTTGATACACTATGCATCCATTTTTCTACTCTTTACATGAAATAATATGAGAGGAACACCCTCCCTGGCAAAGGAATACAAAAGTGGCTGCTCTCTGTTAGCTGTCACTGCCACGGTTCCTCTTTTGCTTCTTGCATCTGGAATGCTGAGTTGAGGAACAGGAGAAAAACTGCTCTGGAACATTCAAGCTCCCAATATCATGGCATAAGAGCAAAAGTCAGGGGCTAACTACAGAGACAAAAGAGAGGGAAGAGCTAGTACATCTATGCCTAATACATAAGCCCATTCAGAAAATTTCATAATCATGATTTCTACTGACTTGTCCTGTTTTCCTGGAAGTTGCAGCTGAATTCTACAGCGATCTGCTGCTCTGATTTCATCTTCTTTTTTCAAAATCAGTTTTTGTAAACCTGAGGTCCAGTCATGGGCTACAGATTGGTTTAAGTTCTGCAAAATTAAAAAAGCTAAGATTCAACACCCGCCTACTAGTCTATTTCCAACAGGCTAGCTAAGGTGATCTCTGCATATAACAAAATTCCTGGCACCTGGGCCACATTCTAATAATGGATAATTTAGCCATATTTGTAAACATATTTCAAAAATATCTGTAAAACTTTTGCTAACATATTTTATCTGATGACTTAATCTCACATTGCTCAGTTTGATGATACACAAATGATATTCTCAAGCATTCACCAGATTAAAAAATGTAAATTTGCATCAGGTGTACCTACAAGCCTTTTACTTATTCCAGAATCCTCAAATTCTGCTTCTAAAGAAAATCTCATGAAAACATGTACAAATCATACTGACAATGTTTTTGTTCATATCTTTGAGCCAAAATGTTTACAGACCCATCATGAAAGCAGTCTGTGTGGTCTAAATATCTGTTTAAGCTGCTTCAACAATGACCTACTGCAAGCTGAGTGTTCTGTCACAGAGGGTAAAAGCACACCTGAGTGACACTTTAAGCATCAAGACTAACAAGTACACAAAAGTACACACATATTCCAAAGGCAGAATTGTATGAAAATTTAAATGTTTTTCAAAAATAGAGAAGCTGACCTCATTCCTCAACTTGTCATTGTAATTATCTTACACATCTCTATCTGAAAACACTGGCTTAATTTTAAGTTTTCAAAATGTAGTTGGCTCTGACTGGCAGAAAGGTTTGGTATATGTTAATGGATGAATGTCTTATGGTACCTGTGGTATACATATTCCCAATTATGGAGACAAAATTCACCTTCAAATACTTCTGAAGCTTTGTCCAAAAACAGTGTTTCCACAAACTTCCTTCAGACTACATATTTTCACAAAATGCTATATTTTATTTAATGCCTTGACTCTGAAGCCAAGATATTCCAAGAGAAACTCAGCTTTTGCATATTCATACACACATATACATATTTACAACCTGTGGTAGCAGGTAGGAGTTAAAAATTGTGTGTGAGCATACATAAAATATCCAAAACAGACAAAAAAGCAATTTTTATAAGTCTCAAGACTGTGGACAACTCATTCTGAAATGTGGTGTTAAGTACTATATTTGTTTGCCAGAATACAAGCTAAATCAAAGGGTTGTGAACAAAGCCAAAGCAAAATACTTTCAAAATTCCCCTAAAAATCCTTTTTGTGATTTACACTCAGTTTTAAGGAGTTTCCCGAAAGCCACGATTATGAGCTTGGATGGGCATCAAGAGCTTCCTCCAAACAACCATCGTCCTACTGCCTTGTCTAACAGCAAGAACACAATTTCTTAACATAAAAATGTAAGTCTGTTTCCATATAAGCTTATCAGCTACTGAACAAATGCAAACATTTGTATTATCCACCTACATTTAAAAACAATAAAGAAAAACAAGATTAGAAGGATGGGTGTAATCTATTTATAATACTAAACAGTTAACAGTAAATGCATTACCAGAGGTAAAAATTATTCCACTCTTTGCAGAGAGAACTAAAGAATGTCTCGCACAGACCCTAGGGAGAGACAATTATGCTACTTTACAACAGGAACAGACTTGAAAAATAAATCCAGTTTTGTTTATTACCTGATAGTTTCCTTTAAGGCTGCTTATTAATTGACTAATTTGACCAACTACATTCAAGTCATGTAAAAGGTTCTGCAGATCATGGTACAGTTGCCCTGGTCCCATATAGAGCTTGTCTAAAATGAATAAAAACATAAGGTTATAAATAATAAAAAGATGCAATTCTCAGTTGAAGGAGGAAAGTGTGACAAAGATAATAGTGACATATATTATGTCTGAAAATCAGTGGTTTATTTGTACATATATCATCATTATTTCACTTTGCTGCTCCAGCTACTTCTAATATTCCTGCAGACAGATAATTGTGAAATGCATTCCAGGAAATTATAGGCAGTAGTTAGAGTCACATATTAGCTTTGCACATACAGGCCTTACCATTGGCATTTCCTTTTAGCTCACCTTATCATTGCCTCTTTATCTATAATTAAGATTCAAGCTTGTTCATCTAGTATGACAGGGAGCATTCTGTGCAGTTTTAATACCACACACTAGATCTGTAACAAATATCAAAGCTTCACTGGCCCCAAAATTTCTCACTGACATGGAAGTTTTGCTTAGCAGCAAACAACAGACTTGCTAATTTAAACATCTTTCCTGGAGGTTGTTTTTTGGTTACATGACAACACAAAAAATATATTTGTAGCTATCCCTATGCTGGTTTAAACCTCAAAATTTGCTTAATCAATCGTGAGACAGTTCTGAATCATATATCCATATCCTAACTCTAACACAAGCCTGCAATTTCACTGAACCACTTGAAATTTTATTACGATTACAGTTAAGTCAAAAAAGGATCTGCACTGAGATCAGCAGAAATATTTTGCTCTAATCATCAATAAGAACATAAGTTCATAAGGTAACACCAACTAAGAAAAATACACTGATTAGTAGGATAAGGTGTCTATCTAAATGCACAAAGCTTGCAGAACCCTGATAATATACTCTGACTTCCAGACATGATATTAGGAGCGGAATGGCTGTGTAATTCTTATGGAAACAACACTCACTCTCCCATTAAAAAAACCCACCCTGTCCCATACAGAGTCAGCATGTTTCCCTTTGGTTGAATGACAGGAAAAGGGTTGAATTATCTTTACAGGAAACTCCTGCAGATTATTTAGCTCACGCAGTGTAGTATCCAAACTATGGATCCTTCATCCTTACTACAGCTTTGGAAGCTAGTCTGTGGGCAGCAAATGCCCCTGAAGCAGAAGGATTTCAACTGTATGTTGGCAAGAACACAACCTAAACACAGGGCCAGCTACTGGCTCTGCACATGGATCAGGAGCACGGGCACGAGCTGTGCCACCTGGCCTGGCTGCCAACCCACACACCACTGGCACCTCCCTTCCCTCAGTCTGCTACAGGGACCAGTGTACAAACCAAAACGTGTCAAACCAAGCACAAAGCTGTCAAAATAGCCTAAGTCAGAATAAACACGAAAAATAAACATATATGAAACAATTCTACTTAAACCATTAGTATATTTTCAGCTATTTTGTATTTGGAGACATCATACTGGTAGAGGCCATGACTGGATGTTTTGCTTTAACACAATTCACTATATTAAGTTGGGAGTCTGCCTTTAATCTTGAAAAGCATAAAATTTCCAAGCTTAAAGAAAATATTAATGCCTACTTTATGTCTGAATTCTGCATTTCACTGCAGGAAAATGCAACATAAACCTGAGATATTATACATTCCCAAAAAATTTCAAATTACTGTCTTGCCTTTAAATCTTCTGGTAAATTGAATCAATGAAAGGATTTCTGTGCATTGCACTTGAGCACCAAACAGGGGAATGACTGCACTTACTATTGTTTACCCATCCAGATAATAAAATGCAACTTTCATCCACCCTTCCTTGCTTGTTCTGAATGTTAATTAAAAGAACAATCTAGCCTTTCTTACCCTAAAAACCAAATCAGTCCATAAGAAAAGATAATTACATTTATTGTACACAATGAAAAGAAATTACTGCAAAGTAGATCTAAGAGGAAGAATTTTGAGATTATGCTCAGTAGAGTACAAACACTTTTCTGGAACTGCAGACTCTCTATTTTCATTAAGCTGTATTTTCACTTTCTTCAATCCAAACACTTGAAATATCAGCAACTGAAAGATGTAAACACTTCTCTCCTTGCATCCCTCTTCTGCTAGCTTAATTTTTTCTTAGTAATGTCTACAATAACTGTAAACTAATGTCTACAACAGTTGTTATGCACCAGAATTGTTAGTTCCTAGACACATCAAATTGTTGATTTTGATGGGGTTACTTGCAAAGAAAGGAGCAGGTCAGTGTTAACAGAATTCTGGTGAAACCTAGACAGAAGCCATCATAATGTGTCTGGCACTGCAAAGAACACAAGTGAAATAATTCTTGCTTCAAATTTCTGTAACAAAAAGATAACTTCTGCAAAACAAAATTTATACTGATTAGAAATAATTGTCAGTTTATTCAGTTTTTGGCAGAAGTCCAGTCACTTACCTGTAATTTATAAACTCCACTACCAAACAAAACAAACAGCTGCACTGAAAAAAAGGTAGTACAAATATTTCTGAAATTTTGCCTTATGGGTTTGAACCAAGAGAAAATTTACAACTATCAGGCTGAGAAAAGCTGAAAGTTTATGAGGCTTCACTTGTATAGGATGGATATTTTCACTCAAGTGAATTACATTATTCTTAAGTTTTAAAAGCCAGGGTCATTCTTTGACGCTTGATAAAGACAGTTACCAGCCATTTTGTTTACTATTGTCTGGAGAATAGACATTAGTGCAACATAAACACGCAGTACTAAAGCAAGTCTTAGATGTTGGAGGACTTTATGCCATAGTCTTCAACTGAGGTCATAAAGCGAGCTTTAACTGCTTGCAAAGATGAACTTGCCCTGTGCAGTATATACATCTACTGTGCCTGAAAAGAGCTGTCCTCTGTAATCCTCTTCCTGGAACTTCAAATAGTCTTACGAATATTCTTGTTCCAGCCTTGGGAATAAGGCATAAATCTTGAATTTCATTCAGCAATTGTCACCTGAGTCTATTTTTTCTGCATCATGCATATTTTATAAGCTATTAAAAAATCAAGATAAAAAGGATGCAATAAGAACGTCAAAGCAAATAAACTAACCTGGCATCTGAAAGTCTGTCACACAGAAAAAACAAATGAAAATAATTTCAGGCTCATTTATTAAAGACCACATTCTTAGCTCAGGAAAGGAAGCCAAAAAGCAAAACAATAAATAATTAATGAGAGCCTGCTTCCATCCTCTGATGTTCTAGAAAAGGCAAACGGCCAATTTAATAGTCAATCAAGGACTAGATCAATAGTCACAACTAATATCAGCCCTTCATGGAGGTCCTTAGTGGGCATGAACTGAAATATAGAAAAGTAAGGGGCCTTCAGACATCAGCAATGATGGACTCATCAGAAGGGAGTTCTCTGAGAACTGACCACTTGGATTGTATCTGGACAATGAATTACAAGTTATAGCAACTTCATCTCTGTACTGGGTCCTGTAAGACTTACTCACAATGTCTTAAAATAAAATTAGTTTCTCAATGGTTAACAAAACGTTGCCTACCAGTTGATCTGGTTGAAAATTGTCTGACGGAGGGTTTTTCTAGTGTGGAGGTGGTGGGGGAGCACACTACTCTGTTCATCAGATGTGTTTCTCAGCTCACAGCCAAAGACTGGCTGTTAGAGCCCACGCATGTTCCCTGACCGTTCAATTGCTGGCTATTGCTGGGTGGGTGTTCACTCTTTTGTCCATAGAGAGCACTGAAAAACTCTTGGCTTCACTCCAAAGCAGATACGTGGTTGATTTCTTTTGTACTATGAAATGTTTCACAAATGATAAAGCCATTTCCTTCTCATTTCTAAGCCACTCTTGCTAATTATCAAGTTCCAAAATAACTTTCTTTTCCAATGTGAAAAAATCCTTCATGAGTTTAGAGAATGTTCTTCCCAGCTCTGTAACTACGTGTTACAGAGGACAGTGTGTCTGGGCAGGAGAGAAGTCAGCACGCTGTAACCAGTAACCACATGTGTGGCTTTGAAGGCAACGCTTTTTGCGTTCCACCTACAGATTAAGGGTGAAATCCTGGTCACATGGAATTTGGCAAGAATTTGTTTCATCAACACCTTTGTTGCTAAGATTTTACCAAAGGAATTCATTCCTCCCTGCAACAGGCAAGTTTACAATTACTGCCAACAACCAGTAATTCATGCAAAACACCTAATTCCTTGCTCAGCATTTAAATGAAATATATCCAAGGTTAAAAAAGAAAAAAATTGTCATTTGCTTTAGAGGGAAGAAAGGAGGTTAAAGTTTAAATTGATTTTTGCTGCTATGTAAAATTGAGGTGGCAAGATTATGCTTTTTGTAAAATCAATCTTAGCTGAGATATATTTGAATATAATACTAAACATTTATTTTACCTTACACATTTCCCAGAGTAACTCTCAGCACCACAGCTTTAAATTAATCAGTTTTGCCTGGTTTGAAGTATTTTTTGTAATTGAAATAGAAGCAATTTTACCACATTTACATCCAGGCATTTTCAAGGCCTGCAGGAAACTCCCTGGGTGTGGTTAAAGTCAGTTTAACTTGGCTCGGGCAAAAGTAGAATTTGGAAGGTTGTGTATAAATATACACATGCAAGAGAAGTGTTTGTGTGCTAGTGCCTGCGTGTGGGCAGAGAGGGAGAATTCCCACCTCCAGCAGAAAGCTGCATTGCTAGGGAGCACAGCCAGCAGCCACAGCTCTCTCCCTGTACAGCCAGCATAGCAGCAGCTGCTTTAATAAGCATTGGCACAGAAGCTGCTCCCTTGGGATTCTTGTCCATCCGGTTCCTCTAAATTTTCATGGGCACCTCAAGCATATTGGACATTATAATCTTGAACTGATCACGCCCTATTCTTCTAAGAGGCACATTTATTTACCGTGGTGATTTATTACCAGTAGACATATTCTACTACCTCTTGCTGTGTTCTGATTCTCATTTGTGAATTACTATTTTAGCACATATTTATGCTACTAAACAAGAAGAAAGGGTTGCAATGCTCAGAGTAGATGCAGTCACCCATCATTTAAACATCTATTCCTGGGTAAGCA